GGACAGCGCTGCTGCTGTGGGAGCTGCAGGAGCCAGCACTGGAGTGTTCCCAACACCTTCCCAGCTGCCAGCACACAGTCCAGCACCGCCAGGGCTGCGAGGCAGAGAATTAACCCCATCCCAGCCAGACACGAGCGCACAAAGAGCCCCACAGTGCTGCCAGCGGCTGCCTGGGCATCCCAAGGGAAAGGCAAATGCCGCAGGATCCAGGACCTGCAGCTGGGAGAAGAAACATCCGGAGCAAACGCAAGGCGGAGGCGGCTGCCTGCTCCGTGCCCCGGGCTGCGGAGGAGCCAGAGGGAACCTTTCCTGGGTCTGGGGTGGAAAGTGCCTGCAGGGCAGAAAAGTGACTGGCGCCGGGCCAGGAGAGTGGGCGATTCAAACGCCTCGGGCACACAGTTTAACCTCGCGGAGCTTGAACTTTATTAGCCAAGGAAATCTTGATGTGTCTGAGAGAGGGGGAAGCACGAGGGTAATTTGTGTTGTGGCCTTGCGGGGTAATGGATCCACTGGAGCGGGCTGAGGGGTGGCCACTGGCCAGGACTCCTGGGCTTCGGCTGAAGCTCTGCTTCCACGGTGGCATTGCAGCTCTGGGAGCGGAGAGACGGAGGGTGACACGGGCGGCGTGTGCCAGCCCCTCTCCTCCCGGGACAGACTCCCCAGAAGTACTTCCCCAAAGCACGAGGGCCCCAAAGCAGCAGAGAGCCTGGCAGCCGGCTGCAGCCCCCTACCTGCGCCTACAGCTCTTCCTCGCTCCCTTGTCTGTGGAGCAAAAAGCAAAGGGAGAGGTGGCCATTAGGCTGGGCAGCGTGGCCGAGAGGGGAGGAACATGGGCCGGGCGCTGGTCCTGTCAGCTGGCAGGACTGGAACAGGCACCGTGCAATACCCACCTCCTCTTCTTCCTCCCTCCGCAGTGGAACCGCTGGCCTGGGGGCGAGAGGAGCGACTGAGGCTGAGCCTCCCTCCACCCCATCACACCCACCCCTGCACCGCCCAGCCACAGGTTCCTGCTCAAGCTGCCCCGTGGTTGCAAACGCTGTCGGTTTCCATGGTTTTCTCCCGAAAATTAGTGGGCACCATCCTTGCAGCAGCTGTGACCGCGGCCACCCTGCATGAAGCGGTGCCGGTACAGAGCCAGGCAGGGTCACAGGGCGCACTTAGCATCGGCTCGGTCTGGGAGCTGCCGAGGTTCGAGCGCTCTGGGAACGCTGGTTCCTCTCTCTGGAAACGTCAGAGTTTTCTCTGCTATTTTTAATGAGTGACCTTCCCTCCGAAGCCCTGGCGCTGGCAGGGAAACACTAAATATTTACGTGGTCTCCCTCCCAACTCGCCCTGTGCTGGGAGCGTGCCTGGATGGAAAGTTCCCAGGCAGCGCCGGGGGCAGGCTGTGCCCACCCCTGCTGCTGTGGGGGCAGCGGTGGTGACCCCCAGCCCCCTCCCGGCCAGAGGAGGAGCGCGGAGCAGAGCCCAGGGGTATCAGGCACTTACTGAGGATGATGAGGAGCCCGATCACAAAAGCCACGACGGCGAAGATCAGCCCCCCGTTGCGGATGGTGTCATAGTCTGGGGAGGAGGAGGAGAGGCGGGAGGTGTCAGCCCAGCCCGAGCGTGGGGCTGAGCCCGTGGCAGGGTGGCAGGGGCTGCCCTGTGTCCCCCTGCCTGCCCGGGACACACACTCACCGTAGCTGAACCTGTCCTGGCCCTGCTCGGCCACTTGCTCTGAAAAGAGGAGAAACTCCAGTGAGAGCCACGTCCTCACAATGTGGAGGCGGGAGGGAGCAGGGTCCGGGATGGATGCGAGTGAGAGTGATGGGACTTCCTTGGCACGCAGCTGAGCCAGGAAACTCCTGCGTCTCACCCCAAATCCACGGGATGCAGCTGCAGGCTGCATTTGCAGGATGCTCAGGAGCCTTGGAGCTGCAGGGGAAGCTGCAGGCAGGGAGGGACCCAGCTCCACCGCCCTCGGGAAGTGCTGCTGCCCGCAGGACTCCAGCAAGGGCTCTGTCCCCTCGGTGCACAGGGCTGAACAACCCCTCCGGCTCACACCTCGCACCGGCTGCACCCCAAAAGTCCCCTCCATGTCAGCGAGCTGTCACCGTGCCACCGCTGCAGCCTTACCTGAGTGCACAGCCCTCTGCTGGGAGCAGCTTGGGAGGAGAAATAGCCCCAAGAAGCCAAAGACCAGCTGGCACCGCTGTGCCACAGGACTGTGGAGCTCTGGGGATCCATCCCCACCTCTGCCCACCCAAAATCCTCATCGAGAGCTTCCCCCGCGGTGGGAGGGACCAGCGCTGCTCCTCGAATGGAGATGTCCCCGTGGAGGCGTCTGTCCTTACCGTCACCCATGGCCTCGGCGTGTCGTCCTGCGGGTGCCTCGCTCTGCGAGTGGGCACCCACGGGAAAGCGCATTAATTGGGAGACAAACCTCATTAAACATTAATGGCCTCGGTGTAATGTTTATCGCAGTCACGAGGGGAGGCACAGGGCTCCCGCCCGCCTTTGGGAAAGAGGGAGGGGAGGGAAGGGGCAGCACCCACCGTTCCAGCCGGTGGGGAGGGCTGGGCACCCCGAGCTGCGTGTCCTTGTCGCAGCCCTTCCTCCCCTTCCCATTGTCAGCCCTACTGGGCTTCACCTCCTGCGGCGGCGGCGAGCCGAGGGCTGGGCTCAAATACAGGCTGGGACCGCCTTTTGCTGGAGAGGAGCGGGCAGCGCGCCCCGTCC